GACTCCAGTGATAGAGTGGGAAATGAAAGCGGGAATTAGTGACACAGTGAAGGAGTGCTAGTTTCTACACATGCAGTTCTTTCAGCTAAGAGCACTAGGAAAGATGACTACTTCTAATCACGGATCATCCATTGTTTAGTTTCTTACCAAACGGGGAGGGTGAGTTCTCAACCTGGAAAGTGCATAAATCAAGACCTACAGGACCCAAACCAGATAAAATGGATGATTATAACACGAAAACAAACAAAAAAAAAGTAAAGAAAAAGCTGCATGCTGAAAAAAGCTATGCAGGTATGACAGACAACGGCAGCTACACTTTATTCTTTCTTAAGCAGCAAAGCAAAGAGCCAAGTAAAACAAAATGTTGAAAAAGTTGGGGATTATTTTTTTTGTAAGACAACACAATCATCTGAAACCAAGGTACTCTTAAGAAAACTGTATCTGAAATCACCTAGAGCATAACCCAGAGATATAATACAACAAAGACATCTATCATACAGAGAAAAAAAGAAATACCAGGGAGACCTTATAAACATACATACCCGAATGATCTCCAGACTTTACCAAATCATCTGAAAGTATTCCAAGGATATCATCATCGGTATTTAAGACCTCAGAAAGATCGGCTAAAGGATCGTCGGTGCTACCTGTATAAGATGCAATAAATAAAATCAACCGGCCGTGGCATTTATACGTGACTTTGGTGATGTTTATAGCCTGAGCTATGAACTGAAATACAGAGTTACCAGCGATGAGGACCATCTATAGTGTGTTATGTACGTACTGCAAATCACTCTGGGGTGAGAGGCTCTGCTGACCAGTCATCCCTTCCCAGTCAGTGCTGGGGCCCCTTCACACGCTTACGTTGTTCTGTATTTTCTCAAATACAGTAAAAGTAGTAAAGTGGTAATGTTATCAGCCAAGAGGAAGAGAGACTGGATGATTTTAGGGGAAAAAGCCCCAAGATCTAGTGAGAACTTGCAACCTCTAACCACAAAGGCTTATGAATGTGAAAGCCAACAAATACATTTTATAAAGGACGCAGCTCACAGCAAATCAACAAGGAATATTTGAAAAAAAAACAACAAAAAGGTAAGAAAGTGATCGGGTACTTCTCTTACCATCACCATTTTTCTTAAGACTACAGAGCAACCAGTTACTACACCCTCATAGGGAAGTAAAACGTAAGAATAAGAAGCAGCAGTAGGAAAAAACATGGAAATTGGAGATGCTATTTTTAAGATCAGAAGAAATTCTGAAGAAGTGAGAACAGCCAGAGGTAGAAATGTCACGTTTGTTTGTTGTCTAGGCAAAACTGGCCTTGTCCTAGCAATAAATTATTTAATATTAAATGATAAATTCTGGATTTTACTATCTTCTTGACATGCAGTTCATTAGAGAGAAACGACTCCAAATGGCCCATGTGGTTTCATTAACTCGTTTTTTAGGGCTATTAGAGATGTGCAACATCTGAAGAAAGCTGACAAATAAACAGAAGTTGAGAAAAGCATTTTTCAGAAAAACTGCAGATACTCCTGACTACACAAGCAACTACTGCAAGACCAATGCATTATGAAGAGAAGGTAAAGTACACCAACACACACACAATTAAACAGAGAAAAGGGATTAATACAGATCACACAACGTACAGCATGGAAAACAAATACAGGCAGGCTGAAGAGGGACCAGAAAGTCGAAGAGTAAACACATTTCATAGATACACAGGTTATCTTTCCCTCTGTTACAAGCCAACTGCCCCAGGAAAGTACTTCCAGCTTAATTCAGAGGCCTGGTGCCAAGGATTTACTTACATCATGAGGCTACTTCCCAAGCTGCTACATTTTACAGTGATTTACGTGTTCCTTCTGCTGCTTTTCAGAGACAATCTTTTTCCCTTCTACCATTACTGGAAGTCAAAATGAGAACTATTCTTCTTCACTTTATGATTTTTATTCTTTATTTGTATTCTTTGTAATGCAGACAAGATGACACCATCCTAACTAAATCATGTTTTACATTTGCCACTCAACCAGGTGGATCAATGTGCCAGTGCAAACCAGTCCATCACATACATGAAGAATATGGCTCCTACTGATATCAGAAGCATTTTAAAGTGCCTCAAAACCACAACACTTTGTGGGTATAGTTTTTTTTCTGTACCTGATAAAACATACTATGAAATGTAAGCTTTTAAACAGACCCTGGTTTTGGGGGCTGGGTTTGGTCAGGGTAGGTTTCGCAGAATATTAGGAGTTGGAAGAGACCTC